ACAAACTGCATTAAAAGCTTAGGCCTTGTAAATCAATGTGTTAGTTATCAGACTCCTTTTGACTGGTGATTCCACAAACTAAATGTTTTAAAAGGCCTTGGTGTCCTCATTTTCTTCCATGGAACTCAGCGTGACACAATTTGGCATCTGGGACAAGCCACATTGTACTTACTATTTATTAATAAGGGTGATAGGCTATTCGCAGCCAAGCCCAAAACAGTTGTAGACCTGTTTATGGATAGCATCATGAGCTTTCAGTTCTCTAAGTGGATATAAGTTAATGTCGAGTTCCCAGCTTGGACTAAGCCATCATGTATTGGGAAAGGGGCTGTGAAAAATTAGCCATGATAATTTATCAGAAAAACAGATTTGGAAGGGACCTTGGAGGTCATCTAGTCCAACCCCCTGCTCAGGCAGGAAATCTTGTACCATTTCAGACAAATGGTTGTCCAATCTCTTCTTAAAAACGTCCAGTGTTGACTATTGTTTATGGCAGGATGGGCACCTCATGGCTGATGTCTTATGTAAACTCTTCACATTGCAAAAATACACACTTCAAATTCAGTAGCAACTGGCAAATATTTAACAAAAATTACTTTTTTCCCCTTTCAAAAAGTAAGAATGAAAAGGAAAGACAAAGACAAACCGATCCTCTTTTCACCTTAAAAAAAAATTTTTCAATTTACCCAAACCAGGGGTAGGCAACCCAAAACACTCAAAGAGATACTTGGACCCGTTTCCCACTGAAAACAAAACACTGGGAGCCGCAAAACCCTTTTGATATCTAAAATGAAGATAACACTGCATATATCCTTTTTTACCTTTATTATAGGTGTGTGTGTGTGTGGGTGTGTGTATTATATATATATATATATATGTTTTCTGAGGTTTTCGCGGGTATTTGTATGTAGGTCTTTGGTTATTCGGGTTTAGAGGGCGCATTTTAACCTTCACAGAACCGTTGCAAAGCTGCTTCAGGGTAAGCAGTAGAAGTCCGACCACAGAAGTCGAAGCACGAAGATCTTCGTGCTTCGTGAGGATCTTCGTGCTTCGACTTCTGTGGTCGGACTTCTACTGCTTACCCTGAAGCAGCTTTGCAACGGTTCTGTGATCCAATTTTACGCGGGAGAAAACCCGAATAACCAAAGACCTACAGCCAGCACCTCTACTACTCAGGATGTTATGAAACAGCCAACCAATCCACAAACAATGGCTCCCACACAGCCAACCAATCCACCTACAGCAACTAAGCCAGCACTCCACACACACCCCCACCAGTATTTATAGAGAGACGGCAGCTCCGATCACACTTTGCTCACACAGGCATGAAGCCGAAGACCCCAGCCTGAAGATGACGAGTGGGACCTCGTCGAAACGTCGCCAAGATACTCTCAATCTTACATGGGAAAAGACCCAAATATGCCAAGACCTGCATACCTGTACACGTGAAAATCTACGAAAACATATATATATATGCAGGTCTTGGCGTATTCGGGTCTTTTCCCGTGTAAGATTGAGAGTATCTTGGCGACGTTTCGACAAGGTCCCACTCGTCATCTTCAGGCTGGGGTCTTCAGCTTTGTGCTTGTGCAAGCAAAGCACGCACAAGCACGAAGCCGAAGACCCCAGCCTGAAGATGACGAGTAGGACCTCGTCGAAACATTGCCATTACACGGGAAAAGACCCAAATACGCCAAGACCTGCATACCTGTACCCGTGAAAATCTACGAAAACAATCCACCAATATTTATAGAGAGACGGCAGCTCCGATCACACTTTGCTCGCACAAGCACGAAGCCGAAGATCCCAGCCTGAAGATGACGAGTATATATATATATACATCCTTGATAACTGCAAAAATGCGAATCCCAGGCATATCTGTTCAATAACCCAATCCTCGATCTCCGGGAGAGGTATAAATCAGCTGTTTATTGTTAAAAGGATTTTAAAAACAATAAAAGCAACTATTTACAATATTAAAAAACAACTTAGTTTTCGCTGGTCCACTGCCAGCGTCCTCAGAGTGAAGCTTAGGGGGTGGGGAGTTCTTTTTGTAGACCTTGCTAGTCTAACTGCTTACTCATTGCTCGTGTGATAGGGCCATCCCTCCTGGTTGACCGTAATTGCCTTAATTGTCCCACCTCCTCTTTTTTGCACTCCAGTTCTACACTCTTTCCCCCTCCCATCCTTGTCAATCTCCTCCCTCCCAGCACTGTTGCCATTGGTATACTTTCTAACCGCTCCCTCATACTCGTTCCAGGCTGCACGTTCAGATCCAATGCTCCAAAAGTCTTTCCATTATCGCTCTCCTCCTTTCTATCCCGTTTGTCTGCCCGTGATTCTCGCCTTCCACTGTCTGTCCCTGTTAATCCTCTTTCCTCCAGTTTCCTTCCACACCTGGGTGTGCGTACGCACACCCGTGTCCCATCCCTCTGCTCCATCTGCCTACGGCCAGTTGGGCTGTCTGCCGGCTGGTTCTTGAGCCCAGCCCCCCTCATCCTTGTGGGTCTTATTTCCTCCGATTCCCTTCTATATTTGGGTGTGCATGCGCGCAACCGTATCCCGTCTCTCTGCTCCGTCTGTTTACGGCCAGTTGGGCTGCCTGCCGGCTTGTACTTAAATCCCGTCCCCCCATCCTTACTGATATTATGTTTCCTAATGCTATAGTCCACAGGTCGGCAACCTGTGGCTCTGGAGCCACATGCGGCTCTTTGAGCCCTCCCCTGCGGCTCCCAGCCTCCTCTGCCATTTGGAGAGAGAGACAGAGACAGAGAGAAGCATTTGCGCTTCCCTGCTTCTCTCTCTCTGTGTCTGTCTGTCTCTCTCTCTCTGTGTGTGTATGTCTGTGTTTGCCTACTCCCTCTCTCTCTTTCTCTCCTCCCTCTCTCCCCCTCTCCCTCTCTCCGATCTTCTGCTCACCTGGCAAGCTGGCTTCAGGCTGTTCTCCAACAAGCTCAGGGGTAGGCAACCTCGGCTCTTTTATGACTCATGGACTTCAACTCTCAGAATTCCTGAGCCAGCATAGCTGGGCTAGCTAGCTCTCTCCTGCCCTTCCTGCTTCCTACTTCCTGCAGAGATGCAGCAAAGGGAGGAGCCCCGCCCCAAAAGCTTTTCAGCTCATCAGAGAACACCATGAGTCTACCCTCTTTTACACACACACCCAAAAACACAAACACAAAGACACACACAGAGAGAGACAGAGACAGAGAGAGAAGCAGGGAAGTAGTGCAAGTGCAAGCCTCTTTCTTTCTCTGCAAATGGCAGAGGAGGCTGGGAGCTGCAGGGGAAGGCTCAAAGAGCCGCATGCAGCTCCGGAGCCACAGGTTGCCAACCTGTGGATGACAGCGTTAGGAAGGATAGTATCAGTAAGAATGGGGGGACGGGATTTAAGTACAAGCTGGCGGGCAGCCCAACTGGCCGTAAACAGACAGAGCAGAGAGACGGGATACGGTTGTGCGCACGCACACCCAAATATAGAAGGGAATCGGAGGAAATAAGACCCACAAGGATGAGGGGGGCTGGGCTCAAGAACCAGCTTGCAGACAGCCCAACTAGCTGTAGGCAGATGGAGCAGAGGGATGGGACACGGGTGTGCGTACGCACACCCAGGTGTGGAAGGAAACTGGAGGAAAGAGGATTAACAGGGACAGACAGTGAAAGGCGAGAATCACGGGCAGACAAATGGGATAGAAAGGAGGAGAGTGATAGTGGAAAGACCTTTGGAGCATTGGATCTGAATGTGCAGCCTGGAACGAGTATGAGGGAGCGGTTAGAAAGTATACCAACGGCAACAGCACTGGGAGGGAGGAGATTGACAAGGATGGGAGGGGGAAAGAGTGTAGAACTGGAGTGCAAAAAAGAGGAGGCGGGACAATTAAGGCAATTACGGTCAACCAGGAGGGATGGCCCTATCACACGAGCAATGAGTAATCAGTTAGGCTAGCAAGGTCTACAAAAAGAACTCCCCACCCGCTAAGCTTCACTCTGAGGACGCTGGCAGTGGACCAGCGAAAACTAAGTTGTTTTTTTAATATTGTAAATAGTTGCTTTTATTGTTTTTAAAATCCTTTTAACAATAAACAGCTGATTTATACCTCTCCCGGAGATCGAGGAGTGTGTTATTGAACAGATATATAGACAGAGAGAGAAGCAGGGGAGCGCAAGTGCCTGTCTCTGTCTCTCTCTGCAAATGGCAGAGGAGGCTGGAAGCCACAGGGGAAGGCTCAAAGAGCCGCATGTGGCTCCGGAGCTGCAGGTTGCCGACCTGTGACCCAAACCAATCCAGGTCTCAAAACAAAGGTGAAATTTGACCATTTTATACTGTTAAATTTAGCAAGAACTTTGTAGCTATCAGAGGAAGGGAGGTTGAAAGATATGATAAAGCAGACATGTCAAACTCGCGACGTCACGTGACATTGCACAACGTATTGGGATGGTTTTTCCATTGCCAGCAATGGGGTGGGCATGGCTTCCGGATGATGTGTCCGGCCCATGGGCTGGCAGTTTGACACCCCTGCGATAAAGGGTACAGTTTGCCTTCCAGAAGTTTCTCTTTCCCATTTCCACCCTTATACCTAGAAAATGCCCCAAGTGGGCTGGAAAATGTCAGCCCTACCACTTCCTGTGGATATCATCAACATCAAGGTTGTTGTTTGGACAAGCCAGTCATCAGTTCTTGAAAATGGAAGTGTTGTCCATCTCTGATGTACGTCCCAACAATCTGCATAAACTTTATTCAATAAACCAGGATGAAAAGCTAACAAGGTTAAAATTGTTTTAAACATAATATAGTTTAGTTGTGCAAGTCCATTCTCTTTTCATTTTAAGTAAATATCATGTTTGAACAAATGGATATTTATTAGAAGTAAATCTCATCAACATTAGCAGGTCTTACTTTTGAATAAATAAGTGGAGACTTGATCTGTCAAGTGTCAGTGTACTGTCGCACCTGAGTATTGAATTCAATTTACTTTTTCTTTAGGAATCTCTCTTTTGTTACAATGAAAGGTATATCCAGCCAATCCTCCATGTTATATTTCTTCTACATTTTGGGGATCCTTTCTTTGTCCATGTTTTTTCATCTACCTAAGAAGATCTCTTACTACTACACATCCACTGGAAACATATCCAATTCTTCCTTGGTAGAACAATTTCTATTCCAGCGCATCACGCCTAACTCTACCTCGTCCTCTGAGGCTATAGATGCTGGTATCTGGACAGTGAACTCCATTGGGCGTCTTGGTAACCAGATGGGACAATATGCCACCCTTTATGCCTTAGCTAAGATCAATGGGTTTCAAGCATACATCCATCCAGAAATGCATTCAGCTTTATCACCAATCTTCAAAATCACTTTGCCTGTGATCTCTGCTGAGGTGTTTATGAAGATCCAATGGAAGAAAGTTTATTTGCATGATTGGATGTCAGAGGAATATCGTCACATCGAAGGAAAATATGTCGAATTGGGGGGCTACCCTTGTTCTTACACCTTTTATCACCACCTCCGCCAGGAAATTCTAAAGGAGTTCACTTTCCATGACCACATCAAGAAAGAGGCCAATGACTACCTCCAAATCATGCGGGGAGAACGCCAGAATGTGACGTATGTTGGAGTGCATGTCCGAAGAGGGGATTATGTGAGGGTAATGCCTGAAACCTGGAAAGGTGTGGTGGCTGACAAAGGTTACTTGGAGAAAGCCATGGATTACTTCAGAAAGAAATACCTCAACCCCATCTTTGTGGTCACCAGCAATGGGATGGAGTGGTGCAGGAAGAACATTGATACCTCCAGGGGGGATGTTTACTTTGCTGGGAATGGGAAGGAAACCTATCCAGGAAAGGACTTTGCTCTCCTCGCTCATTGCAACCACACAATCATGACCATTGGGACTTTTGGCATCTGGGCTGCCTATCTAGTAGGTGGGGAGGCTGTTTATTTGGCCAATTATACCCTCCCAAACTCTCCATTTCTCCAGGTCTTTAAGCCCTCTGCAGCCTTCTTACCTGAGTGGATTGCAATCCCAGCTGATCTTTCTCCATTGCTGCCTAAATCAACTGTACAACCTTAAAATCCATAAGAATCTGCCCACCCATATGTTTGGGTAGAGCAGGCATGCTCCAGGTCCTTTCCTGGAATATTGTCATTTAAGAGGCTCTAGGAAGCTGCTTTTCCATGGTGGTCCCTACCCTATATAACAATAACAATAACAACAACTACAATAATAATAATAATAATAATAATAATAACAACAACAACAACAACAACAACAATGATAATAATAATAATAATAATAATAATAATAACAACAACAACAACAACAACACATCTAACTATGAATCCTTAACTTTCCAGATGATGATGATGATGATGATGATGATGATGATGATGATGATGATGATGATGATGAAAGGGACAGTGGAGGTCTTCTAGTCCAACTCCCTGCTCAGGCAGGAAACCCTATACCATTTCAGACAAATGGCTATCCAGTCTCTTCTTAAAAACTTCCAGTGTTGGAGCATTCACAACTTCTGGAGGCAGGTTGTTCCACTGATTAATTGTTCTAACTCTCAGGACATTTCTCCTTAGTTCTAGGTTGCTTCTCTCCTTGGTTAGTTTCCATCTGTTGCTTCTTGTCCTGCCTTCAGGTGCTTTGGAGAATAGCTTGACTCCCTCTTCTTTGTGGCAACCCCTGAAGTCCTTCCCCCGACGAACTGGCAGACTGCTACCCTTTTAGCCTACTGGAAGGCCATAAAGTGTTGGCTCTTCCCCCCCCCCCCCCCAGGCGCTGGGGCAGACTGCAATGGGAGGTTGTGAATGGTCGCTGGAGCATCCCAGGAGGATGACTGAAGCACTGGGTTTTAGTTTGCTTTTTATGGGTTTTATAGTTTTTTGAGGGGTGCTGTTGTTGTGAGCCATCCAGAGCCATACAAATTGGTCAGATAAATAAACTGGAACAAACAGTTGTGACTCACGTTTAATCAGATACTACTAAAAAGATGCACTTACGACCAGTCACTTAGTGAAGTGAAGACAGAATTCTCAAGGGCTACTTATGACTCTGTTACAAAGTTCTGACAGGTACACCCCCTCCCCTTTCCCATGGTCATTGAACTGCATGTCAGATGGGCAACAACCATCCTGCATTTACAGCTGTTTGCCGAATCCCTCGGTCACATGACTGAATTTTACCACATTTTTGCCAAAAATTGGCCAGATTTTGGCAAAACTGGCCTATAGCCCATAAAGTGGCTCAATGGGGGTCACTTTACACTTTAATGGTGGCATTTACTTTATGGCTCTGGTGCTTGCTTTACAATTGTGACATTCGTTTTATGACTCCAACAACCGCTACAAAGAAGATCATAAAATCACTTTGGTCCCATGGATGACTCATTTTACAACCATTGTAACTTATGATAGTAATGGGTCACTCTGAGTTCGATGTATAAGAGAGCTTTCTGTTTAAATTCCTTATGCTTACTTGAAGCAAAGATCTACATTGTTTTATAAAAATCTCTGCCCAGATCATCCATTATGATTTGTACTACTGTACAGTATATAAATTACTATTCTTTGTTGGGAAATGAACATTTAATTTTCTATTATCTTAGCCCTTGACTTTGGTTATTTGTTGGAATAAAAGGTTTCAGAATTCATTTAGTCTCTGGACTCAGCTTTCTTCTTTCCACTGAATTATGAAAGACTGGTAATCCCATTTATTTGGAGATTAGTTTCAATACCTGCACTAAATGCTTCAAAACATATACAGATAACATACGCAATAGTTTTGACCCTCTCGCTCATAAAAAGTTTGCATTATAGGATAACATTTTAGAAAAGCTGATAAATTCAGTTTCTTCTTTCTTTCTTTTTAAACCAAGCCTCACACAAATATTATTTGGACCAGGTAAATGCTGATGAATTAGATTTAAAAACTTTTATATAACTGGAAGCTGAGATTGGTTTATCCCAAAGTATTTCTTGACATTTTATTAAGCCTTTCAAATCTGCTCTATGTATTCTATTTCTCTTGCTATATCTGAGGTAACACACATTAGAGGTTTTGGAGAATGGAAAATGAGGCTTTTAGAAGAAGTTGAAGGGATTGGGTGATACTAATTAATTACTTGAGGAACCTCAAGTGAATGTAAAATTGTTCTGCTTGGATTCCCCAGTACTAAAATAGATGCTGAATATCAAAAGATAGAGAATGAGAGACTGATGAAAAATGAATAGCTTTCCAAGATTTAAATATCATTTTTTATTTTATTTTTTAAAAAATTATAAACCTAAAAATGTGCAGCATCCATTCTTTCTTCCAGTATTTAACTCACAATGGATGAACATCAACAGCAATCTGTGAGTTTTCCAAAGCAAAATTAATAATTGAAATAACTTTTGTCCAAAATGGAGCTGTTATTATACAAAATCATGTCCTATAATTTTTGTATTCAGTGACACTTCTAACAATCAGCAATCTTTTTTTTTCCTGAAAAAGGGGGCATTAATCTCAACAAAGTCATACTTTGTTGAATTAATTCTGATTTTAAATGTAAATGGTCTTTTGTAGACATACAAGTATCAATAGTTGAAGCCTTTACTCTTTTCTTTCCTGTTTTTCTAATCAACTAATTTAGTATAGTATAAGAAATATAGCTTGATACAATAAAACATATTTATTGGCACTCTCACTTGCAACATATGGGGTATAAGAGAGAGAGAGCATCAGCCTTGTGAGGCAGTTGCTAAAGGAAGCCAACCAGATGAACTAATTCTATTTTATTGCAAGATTTCACAGAATCTCTCCCTGCTTAGCTTTACAGATCAAGAAACTAGGAAGGATCCCTTCCGAGATATTTGCCATGCCCACAGATTCTGTTATTATACTCTATAACCCGAAAGTAGAATTCCAGTACGAATGAAGGCAAATACAAGTGTCCCAAGATAATGTTGCAGGATCCAATCTGGATCAGTCACCGGGACCAGAAAAAGTTTTGTCTTCCGAGCTTTTGGACCCGTGCTGGAGCCCATCCTCTGGGAATTTCTCTCCAGCAGAGTGTGTGCTGTTCTATGTGTGTATTTACAGTGCCTGTTGTACGTGGCTTTTCAGATATTGATTGGGGTATGTTGATGGCTGGCTTTTAAGTCATTAGCTGTCATTTGCTTGTGCTGCCCAGCCTTGGCCTCACTGATGAGGCTGCTGGTAAATCAGCACTCCTGTTGAACAATGAACAAGGACACACATTCAATTTTGCAGCTACTAAGATTGTTGGACGAGCAAGCACAAAAACAGCCAGGGAAGTGATTGAAGCCTGGGAAACAGGCCCCTCGTCAGTCAACAGGAGTGCTGATTTACCACCAGCCTATCAAAAGTACTTAGAAGGTGAGGGTTGGGCAGCACAAGCAAATGACAACTAACGCACCCCAATCAATGTATAAAAGGCCACTTACAACAGGCACTATAAATACACACTCTGTCTAGAGAGAGGTTCCCTGATGATGGGCTCCAGCACGAGTCCAGAAGCTCAGAAGACAAAACTTCTTCTGGTCCTGGTGCCGACCCAGATTGGATCCTAGAATCCTAATCTTTCTTGTTGGATCTGTTTTCTGACCTGGCCTATTCAAAGAATTGACAGGATTTGCTCTGAGAAACATAAGTATAAGCCAAAATCTGAGTTTGGGGGATCTATAAGCATTTTGGGGTCAGTGGTAGTAGTAGGTTAAACTAGATGAGATACCAGATGGAGCATTGCAATGAAATTCTATGGAGATGCTCAATCATCCAGGTCATGGTTGCCCCAAAGCTGTTTTTTTTCTCAAAAAAGCAACTGGAAACTGAGTTAGAACTGAAGGAGCTTCTTGAATGAGAAGCGAAATATTTTCAAAGGAAAAAACCAAGGAAGTCCAGTTGTTGGATCAATGTTGCATGTGGGTTCAAAAACAGCATAGCGTGCGCCATGATGCTCTATCAGTCATCTTGTCAGTGCTGATTTCCTTCCCTGAAGATGACATTCTTGGAACTTGATGTTTCCTTAGACCAAAGACTATGGCCCTTTTATGACTTGTGGACGTCAACTCCCAGAATTCCTGAGCCAGTCATGCTGAGAGTCATAGTTCCCCACCCCTGCCTTAAATAGTTGTGGTATAAGAGTAGATTTTGGTTTACAGCATGTAAACTGTATGGTAAGATAAGATAAGATAACCTTTATTATCATTTTTTTATTATGGGCACAATGGCACACCTCAAAAATGAAATTTAGTTGCCTGCTCTCAAAGTGAAACACATACATGACATACACCTAAACATACTATGAACAACATATGTATAGACCCACACCCCTACATATATGTAGCAAATAAATATTAAATACTGTCCATCTTGAATATATAACAGAAGGAGAAAGCTTGAGAGTTCACAAGGTTAATGCTGTATGGAATGAAACTATGACTGAATCTGGATGTTCTGCTACGGATACCACGAAGCCCCCTCCTCCCAGAAGGTAACAAGGAAAACAGGTTGTGAAGAGGATGTGTAGTGTCCCAGATAATCTTGCGGACCCTGCTCAAGCAACGCTTCTGTGCTGTCCTGGATGGGAGGGAGGGAACTGCCAATGATCTTTTCGGCCATTCTCACCACTCTCTGCACCCCCTTCCTGTCTGAAGCAGTGATGCTTCCAAACCAGACTGTGATGCTGTATGACAGGATGCTCTCGATCGTCCCCCTGTAGAAAGTGGTCAGGACAGGGGAAGGAAGATGTGCTTTTCTCATGTGATGCAGAAAATGCAGGCGCTGCTGTGCCTGCTTCACCAGTTTCTCACTGTTGAGCGACCAAGTCAGCCTACTCGTTAGCTGCATACCCAGGAATTTGAAGCTGGTAACCATCTCCACAGATGAATCATTAATGATCTCTTTGGTTTTTCCAGTATTTAAAACTAGGCTGTTTTCCTTACACCAGTTCACCAACCCCTCAACCTCCTTGCGGTAAGCTTCCACCTTGTCATCCTGAATAAGGCCCAGTATTGTTGTATCATCTGCGAACTTCACAATATGATTGGTGGCAAACCTAG